GTACATCTGTCTGTCTGTGGTGAGTGCTTGTGCCCTCTGATAAATATTTTTTTTAAAGAAAAAAGAATGATTACCAACCATGTTTATACAGATGTTATAAGCAAATCTTAGAGAGGCATATTACTTTCTCATAGTCCCACAACCAGTACATGATAGAACCAGTCTTGGTGAGCAGGTCTGTCTTATTCCCAGCACAGTACTTATGCAGCATTCATATCAAAACTTAAGTGTTGCTTCTTCTAACAGTCTTTTTGACCCTTTCAGCACAAGCTCTCTTCATGTTTTCTTCTATTTTTTCTTCTTTTTTTAAAAATTGTATTTATTATTATTCTTTAATTTGTTACAGGGTATGTGTACTCACCAGAGAGAGAAAGAGAGAAAGAGATAAAGGGAGAAAGCAAGCTGTCAGGTCTGGGACTCAAACAATGGTCAGTCATGTGGGAGTTTAGTGCCTTAAACACCATGTCATCTGCTGGCCCCTCTCCTTCTCTTATTAACATGGGGCAGTCATTTATTTCTTAAGTTTTAGAAAAGATTTTATTCATATTTATTTACTTAAAAATAATTTCTATAATACTTTATGATTTCCATATAGTAGTCATACATTTTCATTGGGCACAGTGTGATTTTTTCAAAGGATGTACACAAATGTGTAATAATAAAGTCAAATAAATATACTTACTGTCTCCAATACTTCTTGTTATTATGTGTTGTATACATTCAAAATTTGCTCTTCTGATTATTTGGGAATATATATTAAATTTTCACCAAAATTCTTTACTGCACTATACAATTGTATAGCTTATTCCACTCATTTAAATGTACTGTTGTATTTGTTAACTAAGGTCTTCTCATATTTTCAACCCCTTTTTCCCCCTTTCCAACTTCTGGTTTCTTTCTTTTTTTTTTTTTTTGGAGAGATTTTCTCTATAGGGCGCGTGTGCTCGCCAGACAGACAGAGAGATACAGAGAGACAGAAAGCGAAAAATCACCCCCCAAGGGGGATGGTCACGCCACAATCCCTTCTCCATTCTCCTCTCGGGATCTTGGACACACACACACATGTGCCCAGTGTGAGTTCTAAGCCACCGGCTCCGGGACGCGAACCGCGGTCGACTACGTGGGAGTCTAGCGACATAGCCATTACGCTAACTGCTGGTTCCCCCAACTTCTGGTTTCTATTACACTCTCTCTTACTATGCCATCAAGTCTTTTTGCTTCCATCAATGAATGAGAACACATGGTATTTGTTAAATGAGAATCTACAATATTTATCTTTCAGACCTTGGCTTATTTTATTTAGTGTTATTCCCTTTTCCTTCCTTCCTTCCTGCTTGCTTGCTTGCTTGCTTGCTTGCTT